AACTAACCCCAGCTCGGAAAAGAAGAGTGGCAGTTCTTGTTGAAGCATTTGAAACAGTTGTTCCAGCGTTTGGAAGCTGAATTTGGCAAAAACTTCAACGCCACAACTTCAATCCCTGTGAAGTCTAGACAAGCCTAAGCCCAAAAGGTAAACAAATTTAACAATGTTTGTCTATCATTTTAAGCAAGTTTATCTATCATTTGAGAGAGGCACAACACTGAGAACATAGAAACTAGAAAGCATACAGCAACATAATGCCAATTTTAATGCTTTTTAGACAAAAGAAAGCCAAACTAGTAAGAAAAAACCCAGTTTGATGAAAGAAATGAACACCAAAGTGAAACCAAATTCATAAGAATTCATGATATGAAAAGAAACATCCTATCTGTAACTTTGAACTCACTATGATGACAGTTAAGCCTTATTTTTGTCTATTCAATGATCATGCAGGTACTCCTTCAAGAACTGGCTACTGGATATTATCATTTTGGACCACTTTGAAGCATTCATTTGTGGGATAGATATATTACTGTAGAAACATAGTTAACAAAATGAGTGTTCTTTGTCATATAGGATATAGTTCTGTAACAAATGAGAGTTACAATTAGTGCAGGATGTGAGATACATATAATTTCATTTTCTATTGCAATTCAAAGCTTATTTTAGTATGCCTGTATGATTCATATAATGGAGGAATACTGCTACATGTGAATTTGCTATGATTTCTACTGAGTGGAATTTTATATTACCGCATATATGCATGATACAGGAGTCATTCTGGAATGGTTGTGTACTGATTAAATTTATTCAGTCATCAACATGAGCAGTAATGAACAAAGAATGCAATACCCTCAGAGCTAATTCAAGCGGATATAGCCTATAGCCTTGGGCCTTGGCAATTCTAACTTTTCCCAGGGTCACCAATGCGGGAACAACCTTTAACTAGTGTCTTTCAACAAAATTACAAAAACCCATTAACAATACTTTATTTAAGTTTAATGGGTAGAAGTGGGTTCTGCTGAATGTCAAAACCTGCAGAAACCAATAAAAAAAAGAAACCCAAATGAAAGTAACAATGGAAGCTTGTGTGGGGTTAACGAAAACGAGAAATGGAAGTAAAGAATGGTACTTTCTACCTGAGAGTTTTGTGAAACGCAAGTAGCCATAGCTTTATCTTCAGATTCTTGCTCTCTGAGACTTGAGCAGGGCTCCAAGCGGCACCACTGGGCTTAAATAGGAAATGTAAAAACATAAGAGGTTCAAATTGGAATTCAAAATTGTAAAGGGTAAATTGCAATTTTTTAGCTTTGCCTCTAACTTATTATTCAGTTGCAATCAAATCCCCTACGAAGCCTTCCTTCTAATTTCTGCAATTCCCTAAAGAGTTTCATGATTTATGAATTGAATTATATTAGGTTGTAAAATATAAATTATTAAATAGAGAGGCAATTTCTAATAGGATTTATCTAATATGTGTTTTAAAAGTATATGTTAAAATTCATTAAATGTATTATTTTATAATAAATTTTTATAAAAAAAATATAAAAGAAAGACATTATTTTTAATACTAATACTATTTAAATGATTTTAATTAACTAGTTAATAAATTTAAAGTCAATTTTTCTTTTTTCTATATAAATTAATTACAAAAAATATAATTAATATTTTCTTAATTTGTACCCTTAAAATATAAATTAGATAAATTCTTTTTAAAACTAAAGATTTACTTTCTATTTAATCATTTAAGTTATACAATTAGTACTATATAATACTTTTTTGTTCCCTAAATATTTGCCTCTAGTTTTTGTTTTTCATTTGCATCACGTAAAAATAGACTATACGGAAGGAACAAATTTAGAAAGAGTAAAAAAACAAGAAATCAATCTCTTAACTAGTAGTTAGAAATTGATTCATACACAAAATAATTATGCATCTATGTCTTGATTTTAATGGTTCAAATTATACCAAAAAAATATCTAAATTTAGTAATTTTATTGTATTTTAAAGATGTGTTAGATTTATATGTGCCACGACGTGCTACCATTGATACAATGTCACGTAATCAAAGAGTGGTGGATTTACGACTACTTTTTGTTAGAAGACCAATTTCCAACTACCTGCTAAGTTGAAGGGTTGGTTCTCCCCCTTTTTTTTTCGACCCTAAATTAATTTAGCAAAAAAAATTCAATGGGTATTAGATATAAAAAAAAATATATTGTTCAATCCAAATTACAAAACTTAGACCATTAAATGGTCCAGTGCTTTTATATCTAGACTCTTATCTAATGATTTTTATTTTGTTGTTTAGAATAACAAACACAAAACTTAAGATATAATGCTACTCTAATTATTTGTGAAAAAGGGACACCAGTGGATGTGATTATGATCAATTATCATTTTGTTAAAATTACTTAAAAATTATTTAGTTTAATTAATATTTTATTTAT